GCTGCAGTGAAGCCAGCCAAAATCACCACCACTACAGCGACAACAGCAACAACAAGAGCAGCCAACTCGGACCAGCCATCCACCTCTGCGGCAGCGGCCGCCAAGCGAGCCGCCCGCTCCCCTCTAAAGCGCGCCCATGCTGACGTCGATGGAGAAGAGGAAGATGATGACGAATACGACGAGCATGGCGACGCAATGGCCGTGGATAGAGACGGCGACGATGACGACGCCAATAACGCCTTGGCAAAAAGACGGCCACGCCAGCAGCTGTTCTTACAGCAACAAGTACAGGCAAGAACAAAAATGCAGCCAATGCCCAATAATGCCCCTGTTCCTGCCCCCCTAAATGCCCCTGCTTCTGCCCCCTCAAATGCCCCTGCCTCTGCTCCAACTTTAGCTACAGGTGCCCAATTAATTCACCCACACACCCCCGCAAATGCAGCCAATTGTGGGGCGAATATTGCCAGCAGCAACAGCAAAAGCAAAAGCAACAACAACAACAACAACAACAACATCAGCAGCGGAAGCAGCAACAGCAGCTACGACAGTAGAAGAAGAGGGGGTGCCCCCCTCAGCCTGCATCTGCCCTCCAGCCTTCACGTTCCCACTGCCAGGCAACTGTTGGAGATGCGGCGGCAGAACCAGCAGCTAATCCCCCCACCCATAATCCTGCCATCGGTCCCTAACATAATGCCACTGCTGGACCTGATTCGCGAGGATCCAAGGGTCAGCAACCTCCACTACACGACGAAGCTCATCAGCCGAACTGGGATCCGTATACAGGCGAAAGATATGGCCTCCAGAGACGCCATCATGGCAGTCCTGGGCGACGGACAAATTGTCGGCGGCCACTACACACACCAGCACAAACATGACCGTGGGTTTCGGGTCATAATCCGACAGCTGCACCACTCTACAAACCCAAACAAATATGTTTCCGTGTCGTTACATATGCCAGTACCGTCCCCTCATATATTGCCCGACCCACATGCACCTACGCTGCATTCCTAGTCACCTGCCTTCAGCAGGTGGCAAGGGTAAGAAAGGGGTCGAAGGACACACGTGCCGCAATACCGTAAAATCAAAATGTATGTTTATGTTGACTGCCTTAGGGTTTCTAGATGTAAATGTATAAATTTTTCTCATTGTATGCAAAGTCCCCTTTACTTGACTATTTCAATTCCTGGGCGTTAGCCAAAGCACAAGTATATTTTTGACATAATCACACTAATTCGTAGCATTCTTTTAGGCACTGCACACAACTAAAAACACTCTGACTCTCACTTGTACTCTCCCCAATTACCCTGACCGACCGATCGACAGACACACGTACTGTGGGTATGCAGGGGGAGACGAATCTGGAGCCGATCCCCTCGAGTAATTGCCTGTAGCAATATTGGCATCGCTCGAGGCATCGCTCTTGGAGTCGTTCTTGAGCCCCGGCAGCCAGCAGTACGTCGCAGCTCTGGCAAATAATTATATTTTTCGTGTCCGCCCCCGCCAATAATAAGTACAAGTCGAGCGGAATCGGAGTTGTGTGTGTGCGCGAAGAGTGTGTCTTGCGCGAATTGGTGTGTGATTTTAAATAACAGCAATTAAGTTAAAATTGCTTGTGCTAATTATCTGCCCATAAACCCGACCACTTTGCATATTATATATGCGGGCAACTGCCTCTCCCAAATTTTTTGTTTGTGTGACTTTCTTCCTGTGCGTTTTGACCCATTTTTAAAAATTCATTTTTCATGTGTGTGTAAATGTTGCAATTTAGTTTTTGTCAATTTGTTTTTCAACTGTCCACTACCGACATAACTTTTGCACATAAGTGAATCCACCATGTTAAATTAAGATCAAATATTTTGTACAATTTTGTTCTGTGAAAACGCCATTAAGAAGTTCCCTGACAATTAAAAATTTAAAACAAAAAAAAAAGCGACGCCAAGCCAAGCCCCCGCTAGCGCGCCAAAGATGCACTTTTCTCCGCCTCCCTCTCACACTCGCACACACACCAATACCGGCAAATGCAACGGCAACGGTGACGAAATCAGCGTCCCGCTCGCTGACGCCGACAAGGGTGGAGAGAGCCGAAAACGGCAAGGAGCGGGAGAAAGCCACACCAATGGAAGGCCCGAACTGCAGCTTCGTGTGCAGCAACAGCAACAGCAACAGCAGCAACAGCAACAGCGGCGCTCCAGAGAGACAGCGAGCGGAAGAGAGCCGACATCGAACCAAAATGTTGGTTCGAACTCGGTTCGATCGCCGCTCGGGACGCCAGAGCCAGCAAGAGCAGCAGCGGCTGTAACAGCAACAGCAGCAGCTGCAGCGCCGCCCGCCAATACGACAGCGACGCAGCAGCCGTTAACAGCAGCAGCCAGACAAAGTCTGTTAACTGCTCTGTTATCCGGCCTGCCTGATCAGCAGCAGCAGCAGCAGCAGCAGACAACAGCAGCGGCAGCCCAAGCTGCAGTGAAGCCAGCCAAAATCACCACCACTACAGCGACAACAGCAACAACAAGAGCAGCCAACTCGGACCAGCCATCCACCTCTGCGGCAGCGGCCGCCAAGCGAGCCGCCCGCTCCCCTCTAAAGCGCGCCCATGCTGACGTCGATGGAGAAGAGGAAGATGATGACGAATACGACGAGCATGGCGACGCAATGGCCGTGGATAGAGACGGCGACGATGACGACGCCAATAACGCCTTGGCTAAACGACGGCCACGCCAGCAGCTGTTCCTACAGCATCAATACCAGGCAAGAACAAAAATGCAGCCAATGCCCAATAATGCCCCTGTTCCTGCCCCCCTAAATGCCCCTGCTTCTGCCCCCTCAAATGCCCCTGCCTCTGCTCCAACTTTAGCTACAGGTGCCCAATTAATTCACCCACACACCCCCGCAAATGCAGCCAATTGTGGGGCGAATATTGCCAGCAGCAACAGCAAAAGCAAAAGCAACAACAACAACAACAACAACAACATCAGCAGCGGAAGCAGCAACAGCAGCTACGACAGTAGAAGAAGAGGGGGTGCCCCCCTCAGCCTGCATCTGCCCTCCAGCCTTCACGTTCCCACTGCCAGGCAACTGTTGGAGATGCGGCGGCAGAACCAGCAGCTAATCCCCC